CGCACATATGTATGCATATGTTACTGTTAGATGACGGCAAGTTGATTCTGACTCATGGAGACCCCACATGCAGAGGAGAATGAACTGCTCCACAGTTTCCAAGGCTGTGACCTTTCAGCTAACAGTCGAGTGCTTAAATGTATGAACCACCAAGGGACTCCTGTATGCATATAAAAATCCCAAAAAACAAACCCCTTGCCGTTGAGTCGATTCTGACTCATAGCAACCCTCCAGGACAGAGAACTGCCCCACAGGGTGTCCAAGGCTGTAAATCTTTACGGGAGCAGACTGTTATTACATTTCTCCCACAGAGCGGCTGGTGGGTTCAAACTGCCCACCTTTCAGCCAAGCACTTAACCACCGTGCCACAAAAAGCTCTAGAAAGTCCTAAGCATTTAATAAACGTGTATTCCTTTCTTCACTCTCACTCGACACCTATTATTTTCTATTACCTTTATTGATAAATATTTGACAGATAAATATTTTATCTGTAAACAATTTTTACTTGGAAGGCCCTTCTTTTCCCTGTCCAACTTTTATTCTTCATTATCCTTCAAAACCCAACTTAAGTATTCCCTCCTGGAAAGCCTTCCTTGACCCCTCTCCTCAGTTCACCTCCCTCCAATATGCTACCCTTTATACCAATCCATTCTTCTACCGTCACCTGTATCGTACTCACTGCCATCGGGTCGATTCCAACTCACAGTGACCCCAGAGGACAGAGCAGAACTGCCTCATAGTGTTTCCAAGGCTGTAAATCTTTACGGAGGCTGACTGCCACATCTTTCTCCTGTAGAGCGGCTGGTGGGTTAAAACCAGCCAAGCCCTTTAACCACTGCACCACCAGGGCTCCTTATCTGTATCACAGAATATATGTCCGGCCTCCCCACTAAACTGATTTCTAGAGGGCAGGGACACTATAGTCCCTTTTACAGTGAAAGTTAAGAGTACTGACTCTTGAGCCAGACTGTCTGGGTTTGAATTCTAGTTCCACCATTTGGTTGCAGTGTGACCTTGGGAAGTCTGCCTAACCTCTCCATGCTTTGAATTTTCTCATCTATAAAACAGAAAATAAAAATAGCCTCCACCTCCTGGGGTTATTTGAAAGAGTAAATGAGTTAATATATGTAAAGTACGTGGCATACACAAAGCCGTGTGTTAACTACTGTAATTATACTGTATCCACAACACCTAGGATTTTAAGTTTGATAGGAAGTCAGTATTTTTTTTTTTTAGGAATGAGTAAATCAAGGCACTAAAAAGTCCTCACTTACTGTAGAGAATAACTTCTCTATACCATATTAATCGGATTTTTTGTCTTCGTTTACTTTACCAGGCAATTTCATCATTTGAACCATGTCACGTACTGATTTTTTCAAAAGCTATTGAAAGTCATTCTTTGATATTTAACCTGTCTCTCCAGACTACCTCTAATTATGGGAGTGATATATAAAAAACCTCTGGGTACTAATGAACCTTTCCCTGCCATCTTCACCATGGCTTCCTCACATCTCCCTCAGCATGGTGTACAATTCAACGCTGTTGATGACATACCATCTGAGTCGCCAAATGTAAGGTCTAATTTTTACCTCCTGATTCTACCCCTGTAATGGGACCACTCACAGTAGGTGACGGTTAAAAATAAGAAGCCTTAGTCCAGGGACAAGGACTAGAAGGCAGGAGGGGACAGGAAAGCTGGTGACAGGGAACCCAAGGTTGAGAAGGGACAGTGTTGACATGTCATAAGGCAATATGTGTACCAACTGTTTAATGAGAAACTCTTTGCTCTACAAACCTTCATCTAATGTACCAAAAAAAAAAAAAAAAAAATCTATGTGAGATCAAACTGACAACAGCAACTCAAAAGGTTTGATGGGAAGGCTGGGGGCAGTGAGTTGAAGATACTGGTGATGGATTAATTTGGAAAAGGATAGTGAGAATAGCAGCACAACTGGAAAAATGTAATCGATGTCAGTGAATTGTACGTGTAGAAACTTTTGAAATGGTGTAACTTTGGCTATGTATATATTCACCCAAAAAAAGGTCCTCTAAGGTCAAGAATGGAGAGTGTTGACATGTCGTGGGGTTGTTAACCAATGTCATAAAACAGTATGTGTGCTGACTGTTTAATGAGAAACTATTTGTTCTATAAACCTTCATCTAAAGTACAATAAAAAAAAAAAAAGCCTTTATAACTAAAGCAATTTCTACACAACTAAAAAACACTAATTTAAGCAATGACTCAATTTTGCACAAAATTTCAGTATTAAGTAAGAGTTCATTCAATATTAAGTAACAACTTTTCAGAGAAGTTGTAGGCATCTCTAACATGTTACACCACTTAAGAACTCATGGGAATTCGACCAAAAATGATGATTTAATCAGATGTAGTTACCGTATAGCTGTTTTAGTAATTCTGTACTACAACTACAAATCTTTTTTGACCTGGTTCTAAATTTGCAGGTTAAGATCTCTCTTCCCTGAGGAACTGTTTAAAGAAAATTGCCCATGCTCCCCAACCCCATCTAGGGAAACAAATAAAAAATACTTGAATCACATTCCTGATCATCTTCTACATGAAGCAGCACCATGTACTACAGAGGACAGGTTTTGGAGTAGAGCATCTTGGGTCCAAATGCCAGTCCCATCTCTTGTGAAACAGGTGTCCTAGAGCAGGTCCATTAATCTCCCCCTCTAGTAATAATAGCAATAGTATCATCTAGCAGGGTTGGTGTGGTTAACTGATACCGTGTGACTAAAATAATAATAATAAATGAAAAATAGCTAGCATATCTCAGATGCTTAATGGTAGTTTTTAGCATCACATCATTTTCAAGTCTTATTAAGAGCTGAAGTTTTAAAAAGATATTAAAAAGGCTCAAATTTATATGCCTACTAATACTCTTAGAAGTAAAAATATTAAGTCAGTAAGAAATGGAAAAGAAAAGAGTTCTTGGAATAAACAAGGGTTTGTGATCCCAGGGAAAGCACTCTCCTCCCCAAAACACACACCAGGCAATGGCCTCCTTGCCTTTCTGGAACAAGGTCTCCCCTGCCCACACCTCCTACCATGGGAGACCTACAGGTGCTGAACCACTGATGTCAGTGATATAGAAGGGTAGTGATTAGACGGTCCTATTCACCTGACATCCACTATGCCACTCGCTATGTGCTTAAGTAACTGAGGTCTAGTTAAAAAATGGATCGCTATGAATTGAAGAGGTTACAAAAACCGTGACTAGCAACTTACCTCAGAAAGAAACATACATGGGGGTCATAAGTCAACTACTTTAGAATTAAATCATCACTAAAAAGTGGTCAATCACATTATACGCTACTGACTGCCAATTAAAATGAAATCTGTATATAAGTGTACTTGGTTAGCTCAGTCAGTAACAGTAAAATCCTGTCCAAGGGTCCTGAGGCAAGTTGTAAGCCCCGTGAGGAAGGAATTCCCTAGGGCCTGATATATAAATTGTTGTTGCAGTATGCTACTGAGTTGATTCCCATTCATAGCAACCTTATATGACAGAGCAGAACTGCCCCAGGGTTTCCTAGGCTGTAATCTCTACAGAAATAGATCACCAGGTCTTTTCTCCTGGAGAGCTGCTGTGGGTTCAAATCATGGCATATAGATTGGTTACTTAAAATTCATTAAAAGAATAAATGTAAGAATACTAAGTTTTCATCAATCACTATGTTAAACCTCATACCTTAGGAACTCTCTAATGAATAATACAATCTTCACATTTTACAGATGAGGAAATTGAGATGCAGTGAGCTTAACTCAGCTGCTACTATACTATATAGTATATACTGTATGGTGCTCCTCAGCGTAAGTGGTGTATTTTATCCAACTGGTTGTAAGCCCCATGAGGGCAAGGGCTATTAGATCCTCTTCCTGTACCCACACCCACAGGCTTGAACACGTGTATCACAGAACATGTAACTGCATCCTTTTCTCTACCACAACACTAACTCTGCAGTGCTAAAATGGGTGGCCTTGAGAACAGTTCTGTCACTGGCTGGACCACTCACCACCGGCTTACTATGTGCCAAGAACTGGAGGAGATAAAGGTGCAGACAATTTCATCTTTGAAAGAGCCAAGTCTACTACAGTAGCCAGATAAGACTCAGAAACAACTGCAATATCAAAAAAGTAAATGCTTAACAAGTCAATGGGAGTATACAAATTGAAAGGAATAATGAAAGTGTCTATGGGTCTGGAAATTTTGGAAAATATCTTCAGAAGAAGTGGCTTCTGAGCTGGATCCAAAAGGATGAATAGGTTTCCAGGCACTACCCGGAAAAAGCCCACTGTGTAATAGAAAGCACAGCGTCTTCAGTGTCAAAAGATAACCGTTCCTGACTTTGCTATTATCTACCTAAGGGACCTCTGCAAATCACAAATCCTGAGCTTCCACATATATAAACCTACAGGTGGACAGGATATTCTCCAAGACGCTAGTTCAGCTCTATAAGTGAGTTATATAGAACAGGAGCTGTGAAGCCAGACTGCCTAGGTTCAAATTTTGCCTCTGTCACTTAAGATTTGCTTAACCTTGATTCCTTAACCTTGATTCCTTAACCTTAATTCCTCTGTGGCTCAGTTTCCCCACTTGAGAACCTATCTCAGAGGCTGGTGTGGTAATTAAAGGAAACAATTCAAGTCAATCGCTTAGCACAGGGCCTGGCAAATAGTAATTCCTCAATAAGTAAGTAATAACCATCGTACGATGAGCTGTTATTATATAAGAGAGGCAAACACCAGATGCAAGGGTTATGCTTGCCTCGCTTCCAGGTCCCTCCCAGTCTGAGACAGCCCCGGGAGAAATGGGAGTGCAGAGCCGGGCTGCAAACCCTACACGCATGTGTCATCGCCGGGCTCTGCACGCGCCTCCCCGCCCCGGGGAGAGGAGCGATGGCTCAGCCACCCCGGGGCCCGCGCCCACCCCTCCGGCCGGCACCCGAGGAGCGCAGGGGGTTCCGACCCCACTTACCATACTGGCCAGAAGGAAGACTCAGGTGAGCTGGCTCTCGGGCTTCGGACGCGTCCCGCTGGCACAGTTCAGGTCATGGTCCCGGCAGGTTCGGGAAGACCCCCGCCCATGCAAAGACAACCCCTTCCCCACCCGGGCCCCGCAGGGACCCTCAAAAAGGGCGCGGCCCACCGGCCCGCCTCATCGGGGGCCCCCACGACAATTCATCCAGACCCACCCGCCCCTACTCAAGGAAACTGAAAAAGCAGGAAATGAGGCTCAGAGGCCGGCAAGGAGGGAAGAGGCCCGGGGCCCCCCGCCCGGGCCCGACCCCCGAAGGGGAGGCTGCGGGCCCAGGCAGGGGATCCCCGTCTTCCGCGAACAGAGGCGGCGGTGGGCCCGGCCCAGAGGCTGAAGGAGCGGAGGCTGAAGGGGCCTCGGCGGCGCAGCAGGGCCGCCCGCTCAAGGGAGAGGCCCGGGGGCCCGCGCTGTCCTTGCCACCTCAGCCCACACCACCGCTGCTGCCGCCGCCCCCAGGAGCA